TTGAACACCTTCGCACTTCTCTGCACCTTCCTCTGGACCAGGTCGGGCTCGTTAGGAAAGTTAACGGTATTCCACCTTGGAAAACACAGCGAGTTGAATCCGACTGGTCTCTTGCGAAGTTCAACAAACACGGCATTTCCCATGCTGTAATTAAGCAAGAGTTTGGTGAACTGCAAACTAAGTATGATGGTTATCTTCATGTTTATACAGATGGTGCCAAGACCTCCTCTTTTGTCGGTTGCGCTGTGTATTCTGAACGCTTCTCCAAGGTTCAACGACTCAATTGTGTCGCCAGCATTTTTACTGCGGAGCTCTATGCGGTATCAATGGCGATCCAATGCATTATTAGTAGGAAAGTACTGAGGGCGGTCCTGTTTGTTGACTCCCAAAGTGTGATTCTTGCAGTTTGCTCTCTTAAAAATACTAAAAATATGCTTGTACAACAGATTCGATATAAACTTAACACTGCTTTGCATGGAGGTCAAAATATAAAATATTGTTGGGTACCCAGTCACATTGGCATACAAGGCAATGAAGAAGCCGACAGGCTTGCAGGGTCTGCTGGTAACCTTCCGCAATCTCTGTCCTGTTTACCCTATCAAGATATTAAGCCCTTGGTGAAGTCCTCGATTCTTCATTCTTGGCGATTGGAATGGGACATGGAGTGCGGTAACAAGCTTCATGTTGCCAAACCGGCTTTGGGAGTTTGGGAAAGCTCTTCATGCAAGAACAGACTTCATGAAACGTTGTTGTGCCGTCTGAGAATCGGACTCTTTTATAGCCCATAGGTATCTGCTTTCGGGAGAAGATCCACCAGTCTGCGATCAGTGTGGTGATAGGCTCACTGTTTTGCATATCTTGTGGCTGTGCCCTGATAGGCTCACTGTTTTGCATATCTTGTGGCTGTGCCCCGGCCTTGAGCCCAAGCGCCGCATTTCTTTCCCTGAATTTTTTCAACATCATATCATTTCATCCTGCTCTCCTTCTGGGAGAGAATCCTCTGGTCTCTTTTGAACGAGTAATAGAATTTCTTGGTAGTATTTGCCTTTTACACAGATTCTAGCTTTTTGGTTATCCGTTTGTAAAACTCGTTTTACAGTACAAACCTTCAATTAGTTTGGCGCAGATGGCCTCGTAGCTATTGCGCCATAAACCCCCAAAATCTCTCTCAACGCTAACACAACCGGGACCAAAAGACGCGTGATTATCGCTTTGCCGAATTCTTGAGCGTCCTTGGTGCAGTCTTTGTATCGAAGCTATATATATACTAAGGCCACCGCCGCCGTGCCCTGAAGGAGCAGCCGTCTCGCTAGAAAGAGACATCCGCTCAGAAGGAAACAGTCTGCCGCCGCTCGAAGGATTCTGCCTAATCGTCCCTAGCTACTCCAGATGGTCAAGTCCTTCTCTTCAAAATAAATAAATTCTTTTTCTCTCAACAACAGGAAGGAACTCTAAATTTGGAAGCATTGACATTCCCGCGCTTTGAACCAAAACAAGCGGCAAGGTTATCGCAGGATGGAACGGCGTTCGTCACAAGAAAGACGTCACCATCTTTTAGAATCCCTGCCGCCGTGGTACAAAGGTGCGGTCTCTCGCTGGGTAACGACTTCCGTTCAGAAGGTCGCCTCCCTCTAGATCCTCTAGGCATCCTTTCTCCCATAACGCCTCGAAAATTAGACAAAAGACTGCGTAACCACCACGGACGGCACCTTCTTTGTATCGCAGTTAGCCCCCAACTCCCTGGCATTCAAAGACCGAATTATCTATTGCTGGACGCTGCGCCCGCGTTATCCTTCTCGCAGTTCCTGGTTGCGTGTGAAGGCTACTATACCATTCTTCTAAAGAGACACATTCGTAGCAGTAACAGTGATGGCTTTCGTCTGCTCCGTCCTCACTTTGCTGCTAGCGGCGTGAAAAAAAAAAGTTTTTGGACACGAAAGACAAACTTAGGGTAAAGAGCTTATAAACGCTCGCCACCTTTTTCAATCATATATACACGTAAAGATAATAAGAGAATGCATGTAATAATAACCAAAGTATGGCCGGCCCTATACTTCGTTTAAAATCACCAATAATCTTCTTTGGTTGTAATTGTGGGTTATCTTAAGCAATCGGTGTCCTATTTTCGTTGCTTGTGTAGCCTAAACCGGACTGTGACTAAATCCGGTGTGGCTATTAGGTTATGTTGTTTGTGAGCAGCCCGTGTACTGTACATTTGCCTTTGTCATGCAACGTCTGCCTTTTTACTGCCGTCTCGCACTCACTTTTCGTGCAAGATGGCAACGACCACCGAAACTTTGTTATTATGGCCCGGGCTAAGTGCTATGTTGAAACTGAGGGAAACGAAGTCAGACAATTTGCTGTTCAGATGTATGCCGAAACTCAAGCTGCTGAGCACATCCAGGACGTCGAACTCTAATTTGAAAAAGCACAATAAGAGTTATTCTTCAATGTCACTTTTTTCCGTTAAAATGTCGTCATTGAGCTTTCTTAGCCAAAAGAACGCGCCTTTCTTTCGAGATCGTTTTGTCAGTCGCAGTTTTTCAGCTACATCTCAAAATGCTCGAAAACGGCTTAGTTTAGTTTACTTGTATATTTCAGGAGAATGAATGAATAATAGAAGTTATATGTGAACACGCCTATGTGAAATATGTTTATGGTAGCGGTTTATTTGTTTATGGTAGCGGTTTATTTGGACAGTTTTTTTTTCTATACTAATTCATGATGCAGTTTATTTCGCTAACCGTTCGTTGTTCCACACGACTGACAACTAAAAATTAACAGCGGTGCTTCGCATCAGTCCTAATTGTTTTTTTCTTTTCTGCTAGTCCCTCCATTCCCAAAAGCTGTCAGAGTTCGCGGTAATTTCAGAGAAACGAAAGACCGGAGCTACAACCCACTTTCCCAACACACCCTTGAGGAAGCAGAGGAAGATCGACCGTATGCATTTCTCAGGAAGTGTTCGACGATCTTATAGACACCTTTGTGGTTGAGGCTCTACAGTCACATAATAACAGTGAAACACAAAGTAACGACAAACTAACGTAAAAGTAACGTCCGTTAGCCATGGAAAGTAACGACACCGGTATTTCGTTACATTTACAAAATTGTAACGGAGCTCTGTAACGCGTTAGCTTTTTTCCAAGCTAACGAGTAACGCTATTTCGTTAATTATTTTCGGTAACGGGCACAACACTGCTAACAAGACGGACGCGAATCACGGGGTGGCAGCTGAAGCCTGAAGCTCGATGACGAACGAAACCTAGAGTTAATTAGAATTTAGCACGACCTCGTGTATCAGCTTTGTATGATCATGTGCTACTCGTACATCGCCGGCCGTCGTTCCCTCCAAACAACACATGCGAAATGTAGAAGCGGTCTGCAGTGAGAACGAAGTTGAAGCCCGGGATGTTTATTCGGAGTGCGCTAGAGTTTCGAACACGTTAACGGCGTAATTCAGGGAACATCCGCTCTCTTCGATTTATACATAAATCAACGTGAATGGCATGCCGCGAAACGCGAGTGCATCAAACCCGTCGAAGCCGGTCTGCCGATGCTTTAACAAATGCAACATTATTTTTTAGAGCGCAGCTCTTAGGCGCGCCCGTTTCCGGCTTGAGCGGCGTCGCCGTCAGGTCACCTGACCCCCCAGGTAGGGGGAGGAGGAGACGAGGGGAGAAGATCGAAGGGTGAGAAGAGGAGGGGGAGGAGGAGTAGCAGGCAGAATCACGAAGTGAAGAGGAAGGAGGAGGGGTATACCCTCCCCCTGAGTACTTTTCCCTCCTCCTCCTCAAGAACTGCGCTCGAATTCGGTGTTAAGGGAGTTGCAAACGGCTTTCATTTTTTATTTTTTCACGGGCTTTTGTGTGACATTTGGTACAAAAAATAAATGCTTATTTGCACTTCTAATTCCCAGCTTTCGCTTCTTTTTTTCCCCTACCTATCGCGGTGCAGCTCCTTACCCCGAGTCACTCGTTTGATCCCACCGCGCTGGATTCTATGAAGGGGCGCGGCGAAGCGGACGACGAACATCGTTCTACGTCGGCGCGCGTTGGGTTTGTCGACGTCGACGTATATACAGTATAGGTGAATAGGTAACGCCGATCGCCGTTCGGAGCCTGAACTTACTACAATGCAAGGGCTTTAAGCAACGAGGCCGACGATGCGAACACGCCCTCGGCGCGGCAGTCATGGGCCTAACCCGCAGCCGTTTTGTGGGAATTCGCTCCAACCCTCCAGTCATTTAATTTTTCCGACTGTGTCACGGGCAGAAATGTTTTGCTTTTTGGTAAATTTACTTTGGTAATAACTCCTAAAATAATTCAAATTTCGGGGGGAAAAAACACTTTCCCTCCACATTCCTACGTTCGGTGTGGTCCGTTTCATCGCAAATTTTAAACCAGCTAAAAAAACGTTAAAGAGCACCTTTAAAAAAATCCTATTTCTCTTGTTTAGCATTTGGGACGAAAACGGTACAAAAAGATGGCACAACAAAAAGCAAAAAACTGAAAACTTTGAGATGAACCCTCGAAATCTAGCAGATCTGGGCGTGTGAGGGTCGCAGCGTCAATCAGGACGGTGCATTTTTTAATATGTTTGCAAGTCCGACTGCAGGGCGCCGCCATCTTCTCGGTTGGGGTGTGCTTGGACGCGTCATAATTCGATTACGAAGCCTTGTTAAGGCGTCGTAATCGGATTATGGCCGCGCCCAAGCGTACCCCCAAGTGATCAAGATGACGGCGCCCTAAGACCGGAGTTGCAAACGTGTATACAAACTTTTAAGGCTTATTTGCTTTTTCCTAAAAGATACTTGTAAGATTGAAGTATGATAAAGGCGCCACCTGAATTCAGCTTTGATTTTCGGGCATAAAAAGGTTGTATAAATAAAATGAACTGAGCGTGTCAAAGCCTTTTACACTCAAATACTTTGTGTACTTAGTTTTGGCAGCTCAATTATTTGTTGGAGTGACCTTTTAATGAAAGGCGGTGTGGTTTGGCAGGTCCCACGGTGGCCTTCATGTGCGAGTTCGACGCGCTGCCGGAAATTGGCCACGGGTGCGGCCACAACCTGATCGCCGAGTGCTCGGTGGCCGCAGGCATCGCCGTCATGGAGGCCCTGAAGGCGAGACCCGATATCCCAGCTAAGGTGAGTCAACCACGATGCACACAGGGATGTCGCCAACTTGCCAAGGGTCGAATTCGACCAGGTTCGAGTTCGACCAGGTTCGAGCTCGACCACGTTCGAGCTCGACCACGTTCGAGTTCGATCAGGTTCGAGGTCGATCAGGTTCGAGGTCGATCGGGTTCGAGTTCGATCAGGTTCAAGTTCGATCAGGTTCGAGTTCGATCAGGTTCGAGTTCGATCAGGATCGACTTCATTCAGGTTCTATAACAATCTGGTCCGAGTACGAGCTGGTCCACGTTGGATCAGGGCCGAGTTGGATCAGGGCCGAGTTGGATCAGGGCCGAGTTGGATCAGGGCCGAGTTGGATCAGGACCGAGTTGGATCAGGACCGAGTCGGATCAGGACCGAGTCGGATCAGGACCGAGTCGGATCAGGACCGAGTCGGATCAGGGCCGAGTCGGATCAGGGCCGAGTCGGATCAGGGCCGAGTCGGATCAGGGCCGAGTCGGATCAGGGCCGAGTCGGATCAGGGCCGAGTCGGATCAGGGCCGAGTCGGATCAGGGCCGAGTCGGATCAGGGCCGAGTCGGATCAGGGCCGAGTCGGATCAGGGCCGAGTCGGATCAGGGCCGAGTCGGATCAGGGCCGAGTCGGATCAGGGCCGAGTCGGATCAGGGCCGAGTCGGATCAGGGCCGAGTCGGATCAGGGCCGAGTCGGATCAGGGCCGAGTCGGATCAGGGCCGAGTCGGATCAGGGCCGAGTCGGATCAGGGCCGAGTCGGATCAGGGCCGAGTCGGATCAGGGCCGAGTCGGATCAGGGCCGAGTCGGATCAGGGCCGAGTCGGATCAGGGCCGAGTCGGATCAGGGCCGAGTCGGATCAGGGCCGAGTCGGATCAGGGCCGAGTCGGATCAGGGCCGAGTCGGATCAGGGCCGAGTCGGATCAGGGCCGAGTCGGATCAGGGCCGAGTCGGATCAGGGCCGAGTCGGATCAGGGCCGAGTCGGATCAGGGCCGAGTCGGATCAGGGCCGAGTCGGATCAGGGCCGAGTCGGATCAGGGCCGAGTCGGATCAGGGCCGAGTCGGATCAGGGCCGAGTCGGATCAGGGCCGAGTCGGATCAGGGCCGAGTCGGATCAGGGCCGAGTCGGATCAGGGCCGAGTCGGATCAGGGCAGAGTCGGATCAGGGCGGAGTCGGACCAGGGCCGAGTCGGACCAGGGCGGAGTCGGACCAGGGCGGAGTCGGACCAGGGCGGAGTCGGACCAGGGCGAGCTCGCCAGGTCGGACTCGCCCAGGGCCGACGTCGGACCAGGGCGGAGTCGGACCAGGGCGGAGTCGGACCAGGGCGGAGTCGGACCAGGGCGGAGTCGGACCAGGGCGGAGTCGGACCAGGGCGGAGTCGGACCAGGGCGGAGTCGGACCAGGGAGTCGGACCAGGGCGGAGTCGGACCAGGGCGGAGTCGGACCAGGGCGGAGTCGGACCAGGGCGGAGTCGGACCAGGGCGGAGTCGGACCAGGGCGGAGTCGGACCAGGGCGGAGTCGGACCAGGGCGGAGTCGGACCAGGGCGGAGTCGGACCAGGGCGGAGTCGGACCAGGGCGGAGTCGGACCAGGGCGGAGTCGGACCAGGGCGGAGTCGGACCAGGGCGGAGTCGGACCAGGGCGGAGTCGGACCAGGGCGGAGTCGGACCAGGGCGGAGTCGGACCAGGGCGGAGTCGGACCAGGGCGGAGTCGGACCAGGGCGGAGTCGGACCAGGGCGGAGTCGGACCAGGGCGGAGTCGGACCAGGGCGGAGTCGGACCAGGGCGGAGTCGGACCAGGGCGGAGTCGGACCAGGGCGGAGTCGGACCAGGGCG